AACTTTTGATGGAACACCTTACTTATCACATCGTTGAGACGTCTCAAAGCGCTTCACAGAGTATACTGTGAAGTGAATTGACTGTATATTTTGTGGGTGATTGCGCACATTTGTAAGGATTATTATTATTGCTATCATAAATGTAGCCGATTTTCTGGTGAAATGGACACATATCCACCCGGGAGAGCATTGCCTCACTGCGTCACCCTTGACTGAGCTGGTACCACTCTCGCCTCTGAGTCAGAAGGTTGTGAGTTCAAGCCCCACGACGGGGGACTTGAGCTTACAGTCTAGGATGACATTCCAGTGCAATGCTGGAGCAGTGAGGGGATGTTCTGCATTGTCGGACGTGTCATGAATGAGATGTTAAGCTGAGCTCCCTATTCAGATGGACGTTAAATATCCCATGGCAACAACAACAAATTTATGATGATTTATTTAGTGCCTTTCGTGTCGGGAGGACGGCTCAAGGAGCTGGACAGTCCACGGTTTACACATGAGCTGGGGTGAGGGTACGCGGGGGGGCAGATGGCCAAAAGAGGATGGTCTTGAGATGGACCTTTAAGGAGGCGAGGAAAGGGACAAGTCAAAGGGTGGAGTCCCAGAGAGTGGGCCAGATGAAATGCGTGAATTGAAAAGAGAAGGGAGTTTCTCCTGGTGGGCCCTGGCCAACAATCCTCAGATAAAATTGGCCATTCACTTCATGGATATTTTGCTGGACATCCCTGGATGCAAACTGCCTGCTTGGCAAAAACACAGTCACTTCACTTTCCAGTACATCCCGTGAAGCTCTTTGAGACATCCAAATAAGATATACAGTCGCATAGTGGTTAGTGCGCTCGCCTGGCAAGCGAGAGGACCCGGTTTCGATTCCCGGGCAGGGCGAAACCTTAGGCAAGTTTCCTTACTCCACACACCTCTGTTTGCCTCTCAGTCAGTGGGAACCCGGTTGGTAGTCGATTGGTGGATCACTTTCCGGGGATAATAATTAGGTCACTCAATCCACGACTGTTTGTGGACACTGCTGTGCACAATTGACTGCCGCATTTCGACCACAAAGTATACAGTCGATTGACTTAACAATATACTCTGTGAGGCGCTTTGAGAAGTGTCAGCGATGTGGTAAGGCGCTACATCTTAAGCAAGGGTTATTATGATGCCGATTGTGGTATTTAGCAGTAGATTGCTCTTGGCTTGTTGGCTGGCTCTATGTTCGTCATGCCTGCGATCTGACACTGTCTACTCTTGACTCCTGCTGTCTGCAGAGATTAAAAACCAAGAATCCTGCTGAAAGCCAACCAAATTGGCTCCAGCCATACGTGTTAAACAAAGAGGTAACTTGAGGCTGGAGCGAGTTTTCTTACAGGAAGCAACACCTACCTCTCGGTATCGAAATAATGAGGAGAATCGACGTGCTAGATAGGGGGAACGATTCCTCGCGTCCGTCAGACGGATCGGAAATGAGAGGATGGAGTCTAAAAATTCGAGCCTTGTCCTCACTCAAGGGTTGTGAGGATGTGGAATGCACTGCCCAGATATGAGCACACCGGCAGAATCAATTGAGATGTTTAAAAGGCAGATAGGTGCACTTTTAGATGGATGTTTCACTCACAAAATACACAGTATATTCTGTGAAGCGCTTTGAGAAGACTCGAAGACATGTTAAGACGCTGTATCAAAAGCAAGGATTATTATACATGTGTTAATGACCTCATAGCACTATTCGAAAAGAAAAGGGAGTCTTTCCCTCACTGTGTCCTGGCCAACAATCCCCCAGATAAAATTGGTCACTCACTCCATGGCTGCTTGTGGGAAACTGCTGTGCGCAATTGGTGGTCGCATTTTGCCCACAAAATGTACAATTAATTAATTCACTTTACAGTACATTCTGTGAGACGTATCGAAGACGTGATAAGGCGCTAGATCAAATGCAAGGATTAATATTATTATGATTATTATCACATCATTGAGAGACTCAAAACCCTTCACAGAAGTGAATCAACTGTGTATTTATGTGATCTCCTTTAGAAGCGTGGCTGTGGTCTCAGCCTCAGAAGCCACTTGTGGGCAAAGCATCCGTGTTCATAATATCCCTGTTCCTGAAAATCAAATCAGCGCCGAGTGCTAATCCGGAGGTCAGCCGCTCCCTGTGTTACCAATTTGCCAGGCAGTGGGAATCATCTTGCACGACTTATCCTCTCAAAACCTTTTCCCAATTTTTGTGGCGTCTATTTGATTTCCTGTCACTCAACAGATTAGAACTGGTGGACCAGTGATATCATAGGGCGTTGAGAGCGAATGGCCAATTGGGATTTGGATTTGGATTGATCCCCTCTGGGTCTAGGCTCCGTGTCTGAGTTGTGCACACTCCAGTGCATTTCTGGACAAGCGTTGTCTATTCGGAGGTACCGGGCTTAATAATAATATAATAATAATAATAATAATTGCTTTTGTTATAACGTCTTATCACGTTGTCAAGAGGTCTCAAAGTGCTTCAAAGCATGTACTGGCAAGCGTCAACTGTCGTGGACGAAGTGACCCAATTTTTTAAAATTTATTTATTTACTTATTTTGAAAGGGTTATTACTCCCAGAAAGCGATCCACCAATCGGCTAACAACCGAGGTAAACAGAAGCGTGTGGAATAATCACGCCCAGGCCCTCTCACTTGCGAGGCAAGCACACTAACATCTGTGTGAGGATGAAATGTTGAACCAAGATCCTGTCTGCCTGTTCAGGTTGATGTTAAAAATCCCATGGCACTATTCGGAGTTTCTCTCTTCCGGTGTCCTAGCCAACAATCCCTCAGATAAAATTGGTCAATCACTTCGCTTGTGTTTGTAGGACATTGCTGTGCGCAAATTGGCTACCGCATTCGCCCACAAAATACTCAGTCACTGTTCTTTACGGTAATCCTGGCCAAACAATCCTCCAGGTCAAATCGGTTGTGCACTTCATGGCTGTTTTGTGGAAGGTGGATGTGTGCTGTCTAAATATTTGTTATGGTATTGTAAAGCAGACACAATGTCTCCTCAAAGTAGGGAAAGAGGAATAATAATAATAATCCTTACATTTGATATAGAGCCTCATCACATCGGAAGGACGTCTCAAAGCGCTTTACTGTGAAATGGAGTGACTGTGTATTTGTGGGCAAAACCGGCAGCACAATTTTGCATAGTAATATCCCATAAACAGCCATGAAACTGGTGACCAATTTTATTGAGGGGTGGAGGGCGGGGGGAACAGGGAGCCGAGTTGGGAGGGGGGAGAGTTGCGGAAGGGAGGGAGGTAATGGAAAACCTATTTATTGCTCCCATTTTAGTGATTGCATCCAGCAGTAGAAGAAAGTTAAACACTTATGGGCTGCAAAGAGCTTAATGTTTTGTGTTTGGTAAAACTCTGCACAGCCCCCTTGAGTTGAGTTACATTTTCGGCAGGACTTTGAGTGGTTTCACACATGCTAAATATTTAAACCCCGAGCAGCTGGTTTCCTTTCATCTCCTCCGCCCGCAAAGGAGAAGAGAGGCTCCCTCGCCGACACCCCGACTCCATAGCTCCTGACACACGAGGTCACCAGCCTCTACACCAATGGCACCACGTTCACCCACAAAACACACAGTCACTGCACTTCACGCTGTATCCTGTGAAGCACTTTCCCGACGGGAAAAGCGCTGGTGTGTCAGTCTGGCTCAGTGATAGCGCTCTCGCCTTTGAGTCAGAAGGTTTTGGGTTCAAACCCCACGTCAGGACTTGGAATCACATAGTCTCAGCCGACATTCCAATGCAGCGCTGGGGGGGGTGTTGGCATTGTCAGAGGTGCCATCCTTCGGATGAGGCATTAAACCCAGGCCCCGGTTGCCTGATCAGGTGGCTGTTAGAAGGGAGGTTCTCCCTGTATCCTGGCCAACAATCCCCCTGATCAAATTGATCATTCTGCTTGCAGGACATTGCTGTGCGCAATTGGCTGCTGCCTTCGGCTACAAATGCACAGTCACTATTCTTTGCAGTAATAATAATAATCCTTACATTTGATACCGGGCCTTTCGCCTTGAGAGGACGTCTCATTGCGCTTCATAGGATTTTACTGTAAAGGGTATTTTGACTGTGTGTTTTGTGGGTGTGAATCCTGTCAAGTGCTTTGAGAACAGTAAACATGAGTGGTTTGATGATAAAGTGCTACATCAAGTGCAAGGATCAAGTACTATTATTACTACCGCACTGTCCATTGGACAGATGACAATAAATAATATAATAATCCCTGCATTTGATGTAGCGCCTTATTAAGTCTTTGTGACGTCTCAAAGCGCTTCACAGCACATACTGTAAAGTGTAGTGACTGTGTATTTTGTGGGCGGAAATCCCATACTCATGGCCATAGCTCGGGGGGGGGGGGGGGGGGGAGGGAGTGGCTGCTGACTGACCGGATCAGTAAATATTAGCGTATTGATCGATGTATCGGAAGGATGATGCTTCTGATAATGCAGTGTGCCCCCCCCCCAGTATTGTGCTGGAGCATTAGCGTAGACTGTGATCTCAAAGTTCCCGACGTGGGGCTTGAACCCTCAACCTACTGACTCAGAAGCGAGAGTGTTGCTGACTGAGCCAGACTCGACAGACAGACTTGACACCCATCGTCTTTTCACGTGATGCTCGTTCTCCATTCCTCTATCTTCACTCAGCCTCACGGGTCTTCTGAACGTCCCTCGTCCCCTCCTCTCTACAATTGGTAGCCGTGCTTTCAACCACTATGCCCCGAATCTCTCGATCTCCTTGTCTCACTCCCCCTTGCTCGGCCCATCACCAAATCACACCTGAAGACTTTTCCTCTTCGCCCGGGCCTTCGATCACCTCCTCTCCACCCTCGTTCCGGTTCAGCATCAAATCGAACGACTGTTAAGCTGCTCCGAGATGCTACACCACATGAAGGGTACTGTATAAATACCAGATGATGTTGTTGTTATTGACACGGCCATTCATGCATGTGTTTTTCTTGTGTTGCAGGTAAATTGGAGAGAGGCTCATTCTCTTATGGGAGGGAAACAAACTTCCAGGGCTGTCAGGTCAGTATATTTCATTCCACTTCTTCAAATCAATTACACACACACGTGCACACCACACACACACACACACACACAGACACACACACATGCATAGACATAGACTCACACACAGACAGACACACGCACAGACAGACAGACACACACACACACACACAAACACACGCACACAGACAGAAACACACGGACGGAAACACACAGTCAGACAGAGTGAAAACTTTTAGCAAATAAATGTTTGCCCCCTCCTCCCTCCCCCGCGTCACCGAATGATTGATGTACGTTACTTTTGACCTTAACTGAAGGTGACGGTGTTAACACAGCATTCCTCATGGGATCGCGCTTCAAACAGCAGAATATTTTAATGCTATCTAATCTGAGGGCTGTGCGATATGGTGAGTGATTTGCATTTGAAGATTAGAGAGATGGAGTCTCGCTTGTCAGCCTTTGGAGGGCGGATTTTAACCTCGGCTACGTCAGTCGCGTTCTTTGACTGATCTCCCCGTTACCAGGAAGGTTCACGTAATTTACATTGTGGGTGTCAGCCTGGCTCGGGCTCTTTAACCCTCTCGCCTCGCGAGTCGGAAGGCTGTAAATTCAACCCTCGGGTCGGGAGCTTTGAACCTCGCACAAGTCAGGGCTGATATGTAGAAAGAGGAGGAGTTCAGTTGTCAGAGGTGGCGTCCTTCAAGATGAGAAGTTAAACTGAGGTCTTGTCTGCCTGTTCAGGTGGACTCTGCCACGACAGTAAAAATAACACTAAAACAATTATTTACTTATTCCGGTAAAATAAAATAAAGATCCTATGGCATTGCGAGATGCTACTCTGTGTGAAGGGCGCTGTATAAACGTACGTTGATGCTGTTGGTGTTGTTGTTGGCACTATTCGAAAAGAGAAGGGGGTTTCTCTCTCGCTGTGTCCTGGCCAACAATCCCCCCAAATAACATTGGTCACTCACTCGCTCCACGGCTGTTCGTGGAACGCTGCTGTGCGTAATTGGCTGCCGCGTTTCGCCCACAAATATATGGTCAATTCACTTTACAGTATATTCTGTAAAGCGTGAAAAGCGCTATATCAAATGCAAGGATTATTATTATTATTATTAAACTACGCCATCGTTAATTGCTCCGAGATGCTACTACTCCACGTGAAAGGCGCAGTACGAATGCAAGTTGTTGCTGAAACAGGTGTTATGGAATCTGCTTCGAAAAACACTTTCAGGCGTGCGATAAATTAGCCACAATGTTTTGGGAAATTCAGATGAGAGGGAAAAGGTTTCCTGAGGTGATATGCTTTGTGCACTTGATTCCACTTCAGGGAATAATTGATAAAGTAAAGCTTTTTTTTTTGTTGAGGAATCAAATGTAAGAAAAAAAACCAATGATGACAATCATTTACATCAACATTTGATGCAGAGTCTTATCACCTCATCGAAAGCTCTCAAAGCGCTTTGGGAGGGTGGGGTGGGGGTTATGGCGAAGAGTAGTTACTCTGTATTTTGTCGGCTAAAAGCCCTGTGTGTTCATGCGGACGTTAAATTTGGTCACTTCAATCCACAAGTGTTTGTGGGACGCTGCTGTGCGCAATTGGCTGCCGCGTTTCGCCCACAAATGCACAGTCAGTTTACTTTAGAATATATTCTGTGAAGCACTTTGAGACGTCTCAACGACGTGATGGGGGGCCATTAAAAAATGGAGGGATTAGGGGATGTGGGGAGAGGCAGGTAATTAGAGTTAGGTCAGAAGATCAGCCCTGATCTTATCGAATGGCCTACTCCTGCTCCTAATTCTTATGTTCTTATATCAAATGCAAAGATGAGCATTATTATAGTATCCTGTGAAGTGCTTTGGGACGTTCCTCCTGACATGGCGAATATTATATAGCCCTACAGCATCTCAGAAGGTCTAAGTCACTGAGACCACTGGGAGATTGGCTGAAAGTTATTTATTTTTAACAGAGCAAATTTACTTTACTTACGGAACAGGTTTGAAGCAGGTTGCTTTCATTGAGCGAGAGGAGAGAGAAGAAGAGAGACAGAGAGAGAGAGAGAGAGAGAGAGGAGAAAAAAAAGAGAGAGAGAGAGTAAAAGAGAGAGAAAACCTGGCATTTTAACAAGATACATCTGTGAAAACAATAAAAGAAAACTAGCAATAAAAAAAACAAGGCAAGGATGGATTTGTGCAGTGACCAGATGCTGGATAATATTTTTTTTTGCTGAAATGAAAATAAATCAGGCTGAAGTCTCAGAGCAAGACCGGAAGCCAGGTTTCCTGTTCGAGTTTTTGGTAATTTCTGCGCTCCAGCTCTGGCCGTCCCCTGTCATGTTGTTTACTGTGAGGCTGAGTTGCGGAATCCACAGCGTTTCTGAACGTGATATGAAGCACCTTCAGGTGTCAGCCTGGGCTGGTCAGAGGCACTCTCACCTCTGAGTGCAGGCTCCCACTCCCTCTGCTCTCTCTCTTCTTCACGCTCATTCTGTCTCTGAAATTCAGCCTCTCGCTCCGCGCTCTCGCTCACACGCTGTCTCACTCCCACTCACTCTGTCTGACACTCTCTGTCTCTCGCTCATACTCTCTCTCGCTCACACTCTATCTCTCACTCATACTCACTCTGTCTCTGACACTCACTCTTTCTCTCGCTCACACCCTCTTGCTCGCACTCACTCTATCTCTGACACTCATGCCCTGTCTCTCGCTCAGACTCTCTCTCTCTCGCTCACACTCTATCTCTCACTCATACTCACTCTGTCTCTGACACTCACTCTTTCTCTCGCTCACACCCTCTTGCTCGCACTCACTCTATCTCTGACACTCACGCTCTGTCTCTCGCTCAGACTCTCTCTCTCGCTCACACTCTATCTCTCACTCATACTCACTCTGTCTCTGACACTCACTCTCTGTCTCTGTCTCGCGCTCACACTCTCTCGTGCTCACGCTGTCTCACTCCCACTCACTCTGTCTGACACTTTCTGTCTCTCGCTCATACTCTCTCTCGCTCACACTCTATCTCTCACTCATACTCACTCTGTCTCTGACACTCACTCTTTCTCTCGCTCACACCCTCTTGCTCGCACTCACTCTATCTCTGACACTCATTCTCTGTCTCTCGCTCACATTCTCTCTCGCTCACACACTCTCTCTCTCGCTCATACTCACTCTGTCTCTGAAACTCACTCTGTCTCGCGCTCACACTCTCTCTCTCGCTCACGCTGTCTCACTCCCATTCACTCTGACACTCACTCTCTGTCTCGCGCTCACACTCTCTCGTGCTCACGCTGTCTCACTCCCACTCACTCTGTCTGACACTCGCTCTCTCGCTCACACTCACTCTCTGACACTCATTCTCTCGCTCACACTCACTCTCTCAATCCCACTCACTCTCACTCTTCTCTCTGTCTCTCGCTCACACTCTCTCTCCCTCTGTGTGTCTCGCTCACACTCTCTCTCTTTCTCTCTCCCTTGCTGGGGCAGGCTGGGTGGGGGGACATGAAGGGGGCCGGTGCCTGCTGCGGGGAAGGGGAGGGAGCGGGCGGTTTGCTGAAGGTTTTAGAAGGCCACAGTGGTAAGATGTGGGCGCGGTCACTACACTTCACAGCAAATGCTGCAAAGCGCTTCGAGACATCTTGATGCCGCAGTGAGACTCTGTATTGAATACAAGGATTATCACTGCAGCAAAATTCCTTGGCGACTGTCCCCTCTTTTGTCCGGGAACTCTTCTCTCCACAGTCTGTCCGCACTGCATGACGGGCAGCGCAGAGCTGAAACTCGACCCTCAGCTCAGAGTGGCTCACAGCGGGACGGGGAAAGACTTGGGAACGCCAGGCGACCGAGAGGTTGGGTTGGTGACCCTACGTCCTGAGCTGCCCCCCCACTCCCCGTCCTCACCACTCCCTCCTCTCTCCCCACCCCACCCCACCCCCGCACCCCCACTCCCCCAGCCCACCTAGTTTACAGGTTGCATAAACGTGGACTGTATTCCCTTGGGTTTGGAAGGTTGAGGGATGATTTAATTGAAGCCAGCGCTTAAAATGGTAAAGGGATTTGAGAGGGGAGGGAGGCTACAGAGAAACTATTTCCTCCGGTGGGGAGAATCCAGAACAAGGTGTGGTGGGGAGGGGAGGGGGCGCTATAAAAATTAGAGCTTGGCCATTTAGGAGTGAAATCAGGAGGAAGTTATTCACCCAAAGGGTAGTGAAGATCTGGAACTCTCTCTCCCCCAAAAGGCTGTGGATGCTGAGATCCATCCACACCTTCAAGCCTGAGGTGGGCAAACATTTGTTTGGTCAGGGTATCAAGGGATACGGGGCAAAGGTGGGCAATTGGAGTTGAGGTACGATCAAATAGAGCAGTGGAACAGGCTCGAGTGATCCACTCCTCTTCCTATGCTCCTCTCTCTGACCTGACTTCCCCTCCACCCCCACCCACGGTCCGCCAAGTAAAGAACCTCTTGAGTTCCTGAAGCAGTTTGTTCCTCGCGTATCCTGCTACTCGAGGTCAAGGCAAAGGGTGGCTGGGTTTGGGGAGCAGATTGCTGCCTGTATCCTGTGTGCTGCAGGTGCTGGGCTCCCAACAGGCTGGTGTCCAGCCAACGGGTGACAGAGGAGGATGTAGTAACAAGTCCCTCTTGCCTTGTGCCGGCCAGGCTCCAAACTGCAGGCAGTTTTTTTTGTAGCGTTTTCGGAGAGTGAGCGAGAGGGAGAGAAGGGGGGAGAGAGAGGACGAGAGAGAGAGAGAGCGACAGAGAGGGGGGGAGAGAGAGAGAGAGGAAGAGAGACAGACAGACAGAAGAGAGGGAGTGAGAGAGAGACAGACGGAGAGGGAGAGAGAGGCAGACAGAGAGGGAGAGAGAAAGAGACAGAGTGGGAGAGAGAGAGACACAGAGAGGGAGTGAGAGAGAGAGAGACAGACGGAGAGGGAGAGAGAGACAGACAGAGAGGGAGAGAGAGAGAGAGAGACAGAGTGGGAGAGAGAGAGAGACACAGAGAGGGAGTGACAGAGTGTGAGGGTTTTCAGAAGTGATATAAAAGCTGATGAGGTTCTTTTTTCTATACGTTTACTGTATCCGCTCGCTCACTCTGAGGTTTTGCGTGTTTGGTTTTCAGTGATTGGGGGTGTTTATGGCAGTGGTTTTAACGTCTTGCGTTTGTGCTTCCTTTTCCGAAAATTACTTTACAACTTTTCGTATATATGATAATAATAATCATCCTTCCTTGCATTTGATGTAACGCCTTATCGCTTTGTCGAGACGTCTCAAAGAGCTTCACAGAATATACTGTAAAGTGAATTGACTGTATATTTTGTGGGTGAAACACGGTAGCCAATTGCGCACAGCAGCGTCCTACAAACAGTCGTGGACTGAGCGACCAATTTTTTTGGAGGGATTATTATCCCCGGCAAGCGATCTGCCAATCGACCAACAACTAACTTACCTACTTACTGCTCGATAAACAGAGACGTGCGGAGTAAGGAAACTGCCTAAGGTTTTATCCTGCCTGAGAATTGATCCCGGCTCCTCTCGCTTGCGAGGCGAGCTCTCTAACCACTGCTCTACGGGACTCAATAATATAAATCGTAACCGGAAAATACAGTCACACTTTACAGTACACACATACATACTTTATAGTGTATTCTGTGCTGCGCTTTGAGATGTCTCAATGACGTGACAAGGCACTATATCAAATGCAAGGATTATTATGATTATATATATATATTTTCCGAGAGCGAAGGTCTCTTTCCCTGCACCGTGCCCTGCAGTGGCTGAGACGTTAATTTGAGGTGTCCGGAATTGTTTGACCCTCCCAATCCCACCACCACCTCAGCCTCGCCTGCTTCCCTGCCAAAAGGAGTGGGCAGGCGGGCGGTGGGGGGGGGGGGGTGATGGGTGGGGGTGAGAGGGAGCACCTGGCCCACACCTGGTGTCTTCACTCTCACTGGGGGGTGGTGTGGGGCGGGCAGAGGTCAGGCGAGCTACAATGATGGGAAAACAGTGGGCGTCGATCTGTGCACAACCAATCTTTGGCACAGTTAGTGGCTCAATGACCTCCAGCTCAGAAAGTGGTGGGTAATAATCCCCCTCCCCCCAAACCCCCCACCACCCCCCCACCCCACCACCTCCGCCACCTTCACGCTTTTTGAGTTCATAGTCCAGGCTGACTAGCGTTCCAGTGTGGTGCCAGAAGGAGTGGGTGGCACACGCAGTCCTATTCTGTACATCTGTTTTACCTTAAAGTTTAAGATTGGCGTAGTCTAAGAGAGCCGTAGCGTAGAGGTTAGAGCTCTCACATCACAGGCGAGAGGACCCGGGTTCGATTCCCCGGCAGGGCGAAACCCCGGGCAAGTTTCCTTACTCCACGCCTGATAAAAATCCCTCAAGAAAAAAAAAACAATAATAAATTGGCCACTTCAATCCACGACTGTTTGCGGGACGCTGCTGTGCGCAACTGGCTGCCGCGTTTTTCGGCCACAAAATAAACTGAATCTACTTTACAGTATGTCCCGTGAAGCGCTTTGAGACATCTCAACGACATGATAAGGCGCTGTATCAAATGAAATATACACATTTTTGGTTGTTATATATCGCACAGAATTGTCAGCCGACACATTCAAAAGGCGCAGGCTATATTGTCAGTGCCGCCACCATTTTAGTTGAGACTTTAATCCGAGGTCCAATCTGCCTGTTGGGACGGACATTAAAGATCCCATGTTGCTCATCGAAAAGAGAAGAGTTTTTCTCTCTCGCTCTCTCTCTCTCTCTCTCGCTCTGTCCTGGCCGACAACCTCCCCAAATTAAAATGGGATGTTGCTGTGTGCAAATTGGCCGCCGAGTTTCACTGCAAAAATTCACTGCACTTTTACAGTGAATCCTGTGAAGGGGTTTGAGACGTCCCTCCCAACTTGTTAAGGGAGCATTCTTTCAAATGCAAGCGCTATTATTATAAGTTGGAGGGTTTTGGCGGTAAAGAAAAATCAAAGTTCCATCCTTTCCTGTTCCCTCGTGGAATCCGAAACATTGAGAGCACAACTGAAACAAGTGAGTTTAGTAATCAATTTATTGGTGTGAATTATTTCCTCTGGCAGTTAGCGGTGTGGAAGTGGGTGGGTGGGTGGTGATGTGTTTTCGCAAACACGTTAAGAAATTTGCTCTATGGAATTGCAGTAACCAGTGATAATTACGTTGCCTGTATGTACAGTCAATTCACTTTACAGTATATCCTGTGAAGCGCTTTGAGATGTCTCAACGATGTGATAAGGCGCTATATCAAATGCAAGGATTATTTATTAAATTGACTCACCAACCAGTGAAAATAATTGCACCTTATTGACTCTACCAAAGGCCCTCATCATTTTAAAAGTCTCGATCAGGTCACACATCAATCTTCTTTGTACCAGCGAAACAAAATCATCCCGGTAAACCTCCCCAGCACTCACTCTATCGCCTTAATGTCTTTTCTAAAGTGGGGTGACTTTTTTTGGAGTGGGGGTGGGGGGGGGGGGGTCATCCCCACCTACACATGGAAATCCCAGCGGTGTAAGTGGGATGCATGGAATAAAGTGGGGGTGGTACCCACGCAGGAACACCATAATCTAGCTGTTGTTTTACTGGGAATGTTCCCGGAGGGTCTTTGCGGAGTTGGTTTGGTTGGGGGGAGAAGGGGAGGGAGTGGGGTTGGGGGTGTGCGGGTGATATGTGGGAGACGAGGGTTGGGATGTATGTAAGGGAGGGGTGTGAGGAATAATTGTTTGCTTCACACGGGCACGTTTTTGCTGGCGGTCGCGGGGAGAGAGAGAGAGAGAGTATTTCGGGCACAGCTGCCAGACAGACTAGTGCATTGGAAGTGGAACAAGATTTATCTTTCTTAAGTGAAGGTAAATTAGTGTAAATGCTCCAACAGGGAAGCTCCTGGCTGTAGAAAGAGCTGGCAATGTACCTCAGACAAACCGTGGATTCAGGGCTGTTGCCAACCTTCCTTACAGCCTCTTTATTTCCACCCCCATTCACTAGTTTTCTCATTCCCTGTCCACTCGAGGAAATACCTTCCCTTTTTTTTTCTCTCCTCTTCCCCCACTCCTCGCCTCTGCCCCTCTCTTTGCCTACTCTTCTTACATCCCACCTTGTTCCCCCCTCCTCCCTCCTCTCCTCTCCTCTCCTCTCCCCCTCCTTCCTCTCACCCCTCCTCTGCCCACTCCTCCTCTTCGTACTCCACCTCCCCTCCCTCTACCCCCTTCTCTCCTCACCCCCTCCTCTCCTCTCCTCTCCGCCCTCCGTCTCCCCCCTCCTCTCCTTTACCATTGTTGTTTTCGTCTGTCTGGCCCGATTGGCTGTTCTTGGGGTATGGGGGCAGTCTGGCCGGGGGTGGGGGGGTGTTGGAGGGGCGGTGGGGGTTTGGTGGAGAGTGGGGTGCACAGGAGCAGGGAGAGAAGGGGAGGAAATGATGCCTCATAACTAGTCCCATCTTCCCATGGCTCCTTCCTGCAAGTAATAGAGAGAGGACAAGAATGTCAGTGCGTCAGTGGTAGTGTTCTCGTCTCTGAGTCAGACTCAAGCCCCACGTCGGGAACTTTGAACTCACTAATCCAGGTTGATACTCCAATGCAGCGCTGGGGGTGTGCTGCATTGACGGAGTCCTTTGGAGGTGATGTTAAACTGAGGTCCCATCTGCCTTTCAAAGATCCCATGGTTATTCGAAAAGAGAAGGGAGCGTCTCTCTCCCAGTATCCTGGCCAACAGTTACCCAAATAAAACTGATCACTCACTTCATGGCTGTTTGTGGGGGACACAGTCACTGCAGTTTGCAGCATATCCCGTGAAGCACTTTACGAGTTCCTTCTGACGTAAAAGATGCTATACCAAACGCAGACAGAATGCATTTGTGTGTGGCGGGGCAGGTGGATTCACAAGTGTATGGGTGTATGGGGAATAGTGTGTGTGTGTGTGTTTCGAAGGGGGGATACATGTGAGTGAATGGGAAATGCGGGGGATATGTATGTGTATGAGGCTGAATGTACTTGTGTGTGTGTGTGTGCGCGCATGTGGGGTGGGAGTTGTACTGAGGCTAAATGTGGTCACCCGTCAGGTATAAGCAGTCTGGGCAGGAATACCTGCGTTTTGAATGGGAAAAGGGCTGAAAAATAAACCATAAGAATAACTTTTTTATTTTCGCTTTTATTTCATTGAATTATTATTGTTGTTTTGCAGCTCCATTTTACCATGATGAGAAGAGAGGCTCGAGGGAAGGTAAGTGTAGCACTGACAGCCCTCGTGCCTTGTCTCTTACACCACCACCCCCCACCCTCCTCCACCATAGTCCTCACTCTTCCCTTCATCCTCGTGTTTCACATGCGTCTCTGTGTGTGTCTTCCCCAGTATGTGACTCCCAATGTGTGTGTGTATCTCCTTCCCCCAATATGTCTGTTGTGTGTGTCTTCCCCAGTGTGTGACTCCCAATGTGTGTGTATCTCCTTCCCCCAATGTGTCTGTGTGTGTGTGTGTGTGTGTGCGCCTCCCTCAAGCCTTGGCTCTTGCCAACCTGCGCCTAATACTTTCCAGAATTAGGTAAGCAGGATGTGTCCCTCCAGGGAGAGAGAGTCAATTCCAACCATCTATCTCTGGGATTTCCATGTGTACGTGGGACGCATGGAATTCTCAGCTTTGGTTTGGAGACTCTTAAGCAACGGTGATGGGTTTCCGCGTGTGTCAAGACACCCGGCTGACCCAATTTTTGTTTTACAAAATCATTTACCCATAATAATAATAAACCAGATATTATCGTAAGAGGTGGCTATCCCAAGTAATTAGAACGTAAGAAATAAGGAAAGAGAGAACATCAGGAAATATCTTGATCTGCAAATTGAATGCGGACGCAAGTAGCAGCAAAAAATAAGTATAGTTTTCTGATTATCGGCGGAACTGGGACTGTTAATAAGACCATTCAGAAAAGGTTTGACAAGATACCTGGTGAACAAAATATCAATCAATCTCCTGCAAACAATAGCTACAGTATTTTAGGAAGTTCAAACATACTCAGAAAATTAACATCGGTTCATATGTAACGTGTCAGTGTCATTGGTCTGACTGACACATCACTGAAAACCATTTAGAAACTTCCTCTACAGAATGATTTAATGTGTAACAACATAATAATAACAATCCTTGCGTTTGATGTCACGTTGTCGACACGTCTCAAAGCCTTTCACAGGATATACTGGAAAGTGGAGTGACTGTGTATTTTGTGGGCGAAACATTCATTGCAGCAGCCAGAGACCAGGACAGTGAGGGTACCTGGGAGCCATGCCCTTGAGCAGTGTATAATGTGGGGAGCTTGGCACACAGTAAGGAACTCCCCGTGGGTCAGTATTGTCAGCGTTGGGTGCTCAGTCAGCCACGTAGGTACATTGTTCCCGAGGCAGAGTCTCCCCTGGCTCAGTCGATAGCGTTCTCGCCTCTGAGTCAGAAGGTTGTGGGTTCGTCGGGTCTTTGAGCTCACAGTCTAGGCTGACACTCCAGTGCAGTGTTGGAGGAGGCGTTGAAGTGTGGGAGGTACCATCCTTTCGGAAGAGATGTTATACTGAGATCCCGATGCCTGTTCAGGTGGATGTAAAAAATCGTGTAGCGCTATTCGAAAAGAGAAGGGAGTTTCTCTCTCCCGGTGTCCTGGCCAACAATCCCCCAAATAAAATTGGTCCCTCACTTCATGGCTGTTTGTGAGATGTTCCTGTGCAAAAATTGGCTGTCGTGTTTAGCCATGGTCATGGCACTCTACAGTAAGTCCTGCAGCTCAATGGTTAGAGCACTCAGCTCGCGAGCGAGAGACTTGGGTTCGTTTCTCCACAGGGCGAAATGTAGGGCAAGTTTCCTTACTCCGCACACCTCTGTTTACCCAGCATTAAGTAGGAACCCGGTTGTTAGTCGATGGGTGGATTGCTTTTCCAAAGGGTAATAATTCCTTCAAAACAAAATAATAATAATAAATTGGTCACTTAAATCCACGACTGTTTATGGGACAATACTGTGCGCCAACTACATTTGTGCTCCAGTCACTCCGCCTCGCCCCCTCCTTAGCCTCCTTCAAGTCCCACCTCAAGACCCTCCTCTTCGACCATGCCATCAGCCACCCCCCTTCCCCTCTCTTCCCTTAGCCCCCCAACCCCAGCTCGGGTCTGAAATGCTGTACTCTGTCCAGCGCCTTGGGATGTCCTCCCGACATGAAAGGCGCTATACAAATGTAGTGTTGTTGTTGTTGTATAGTGCCTTTCACATCAGGAGGACATCCCAAGGCACTGGACAGTCAGGGATCCGCGCCTGAGCTGGTGGTTGGAATCAGGAGGGTTGGAGGGCGGGGAGAGTAGGGGCAAGAGGATGACCGAAGGCGCGGTCGAAGAGGAGGGTTTTGAGATGGGTTTGAAGAAGGAAAGGGAGGGCGTGGGGCCGAGGGATTGTGGGATGCAGTTCCAGAGGGTGGGGACAGTGAAGGCTGAAGGCCCGACAGATAATAATAATAATACTACCAATAATAATAATCCTTGTGTTTGACATAGCCCCTTATCACTTCATTGAGATATCTCAAAGTGCTTTGCAGAATACACTGTAAAGTGGAATGACTGTGTATTTTGTGGGCAAAAATAGCTGAGCGAGGACGAGGAAAGTTTTTTAAACTTCTTAAAAAGTTTCAGAGCCTCCTGCAGCTCTCTTGATGCCTCATCTCTCATGTTATTCTGTCTCTGTGTCTACCTCTCTGTGTCTACCTCTCTGTCTCTACCGCTCTGTCTCTATCTCTCTGTGTATCTTCCCCCCCTGCGCCTAACTCAAATCCCTCAGTGATAGACAAACACATATCATTGCCACGTCTCGCTCTGTGAAAGAGGTCCTGTGGCTTGCGGGCTCGCTCAATCATTTACAAAAGGACTCCCTTCTCTCGTGATACGATATAGAGTGTCTCGCCCTTCAGTTCTCAGTGGGTTAACTGAAGGCAGAGGCGATGAACTGTAATTGGCCTATTTAGGGTGTTTTGCATGTGAATACCCCTCTTGTGAAGCATTACTAAGTCTGTTGTGAATGACAGGGTGATTAGAATTTAGATTAGACGGTGAGAGAGTGGGTGTGGGTGGGGGGGGGTTCAATTCTCGGAAAGTACAGTATCATTGGCTGAAAGTCGATTACTCGCGACGATAAAGTAATAACTTCGGGATTATTGATCATTGATCTGAGTAAAGTAAACGGGAGTGAGGGGCGGGTTGGTGGTGGGGGGGGAAGGGGGTCGAGGGGGGGGGAACGGTGTAAGTGAAAGATGTCAAACGGAGAGTTGAAGCAGTGTCCCTTTCCCGAGAGCGACCTTAGTTTTTTTCCTTTTATTTCACCGCCCCCCCCCCCACCTCCAACTCCTCCCTCCCTTTCCCCCCTGCACCCCACTTCCTCCCTCCTACCCTCCTTCATCAGAAAATCAGAGCGGGGTGGGGTAGGCACAGGGGTGTCACTGCTTTTAGTAAGTTTCGGCAGGAGTCGTATGAGTTTTAGGTAAGTATTACTGTCACTATTTTGGGGGAGGGTTGGCACCTTTGCCAAGTGTCTTAAGGTCGCTTTGGGGGGGGAATACTTGGTGCACGCTCTCGCTCTCTCCCCTGCTCTCTCTCTTGTGCTCTCTCTGTCTCATGGGGGGAGGGGGTGGGGGGGAATGGTACCATCTCAGTATCTCAGGTTATTATGGAGGGGGTGTGGAAGAGAGTTAATGGGAGTCACACTCACGTTGGAAAAACATTGCTAACCAGCTGTGCAGGCACTGCTGTTCCAAGCAATGAGTTATCAGAGTAAAGTTTAAAACTAAGTGTGCGTGTAATAATAATAATCATCATAATAATCCTTGCATTTGATACAGCGCCTCATCATTTCTTCGAGGCATCTCAAAGCGCTTCACAGAATATATTGCAAAGTGAATTGACTGAATGTTTTGTGTGCAAAATGTATGTGTATATCTGTGTGTGTGCATGTGCATATGTGTGTGTGTGTGTGTGTGTGTGTATGTGTGAGTGTATACGTACATTGCCAGTTTATAAGGGTGTGTTTATGTTTACACTTCATTTTAAAAGAGAGTGAATTGTTCGTTGGGGCAAACTTCTGCCCCGTCATCAACAGTTTTATGGCTTGCAAAGCAGATGAGCAGAATGGTCTCTGGGAAGACTGTCTTGAGTCCTGAGACTTGCTTCAGGCAATAATAATAATAATCCTTGCATTGCTCGTAAAAATATAACCATAATAATAATTCTAGCATTTGCTCTAGCGCTTTCCACGCCTGCTAGACGTCTCGAAGCGCTTCACAGAATATAATGAAAAGTGAATTAACTGTGTATTTTGTGGGCGAAACATGGCAGCCAGTTGCACACAGCAGTGTCCCACAAACAGCCATGGAGTGACCAATTTTATTTGGGGGATTGTTAGCCAGGACACCGAGAGAGAGAAACTCCTATCTCTTTTTGAAGAATAAACATGGGATCTTTAACATCCACCTGATCAGGCAGACCTGACCTCGACTTAATGTCTCTGCAAACCTTATTTGGTTATTTTCCTTACTCCACATGCCTCTGTTTACCCAGCAGCAAGTAGGAACCCGGTTGTTAGTCAAAATTGGCGATTGCTTTTCCGGGTATAATAATCCCTAACAAAAAAAAACACAATTTTAATTTGGTCACTTCAATCCACGACTGTTTGTGGGACGCTGCTGTGCACAATTGGCTGCCGCGTTTTGCCCACAAAATATACAGTTGATTTACTTTATAGTATATTCTGTGAAGCTCTTTGAGACGTCTAGAAGACGTGATAAGACACTGTATCAAATGTAAGGTTTATTATTATTGCATTTATATTTTATGAGTAATTGTGACTCACATCCGTGCAGACACCTTTGCACCGCTTCACCTACAAAATACACAGACACTGCACTTTAAAAGCAAACCCTGTAAAGCGCTTTGAGACATCTCTCCGGACGTGAAACCTGCTGTGTCAGTGCTGTATTCTTCTTATTATGTCTTATTCCGTACTGCATTCCTTAGATATCTAGAGAGAAAAGGTTGACGTGCACTACAATGCAGAGCGCTGCTTAAGAGCAAATCCTGGGAATCTCTCTCTCTCTCTTTGAGACGTCCTCCCGACTGGATAAGGCGCTGTATAAAATGAAAGGATTGGTGTTCTTATAATGCAGATGTGTTTGCTCACACTTGGAATACACATCTGTCTCCCCCCTCGTTCCTGTGTATCTTTTAACTGTTCCTCCTCGGTGCCCATTAATCCTGGGCCATTTTGCGTCCCTAGTCTTCATTTCTTCACCTCGTCTATCTTCAGTGCAGCCCTTTTGTCATCTCCCATTCTCACGCTTTGTCTCACACGCGCTCTCTTTCTGTCTCCATCTCACGTTCACTCTCTGTCTGACTCTCTCGCACACATTCTGTCTCTCACAATTTCTCTGTCTCTCACCCACTCTTTCTCCATCTCCCACAAGCTCTCTGTCTCTCAAACACACTCTCTCTATCTCTCATTCACTCTGTCTCACACACACACTGTCTGTTTCGCACATAAACTTTCTCGGTCTCACACACTCACTGTCTCTCACACACACACTCTCTGTCTATCTCTGCTGCACACACCCTGCCTATCTCGCACACCCGCTGCCTCTCTCACACACATACCCTCTGCCTCTGTCTCTCACATGCGCTCTCCTTTCCCTCTCTCTCTTCCTCACAAAATACTCCAAACCTCCCCAGATCCCTCTCTCTCTCTCTATATATATATCTTCCATTGTCCTTCTCTCTATGCATTTCTGTTTGGCTTTTTGTTTACATTTGAATGTGTGTGTGTGTGTGTTTGTCCCACTCTCTCTGTACCTTGCTGCTTCTGTCTTTCTGCTACATCAATTGCATTGCAACAACAACTTGCATTTATATAGCACCCTTCACACGGGGTAGCGCTCCGGAGCGCCTGACAATGGCGGAGTCTGACCTCGAGCCGGGGAGGGGGGGAGAGGGAGGGGGGGAGGTGACCATAAGCTCGTTCAAAAAGGAAAGTCTTTAGGTTGGATTTAAAAGTGGGGAGGGAGGGAGTAAAGTGGAGGGATTGAGGGTGAGAGTTCCAATCGTGACACTCTGATCCCACTATTCCATGAAGAAGAAAAAGAAGTGTTGTATCTAAAAATCCTGGATAGCACAGTGTGCTCCTGCTGATTTTATGAAGAGTTTAAGTTCTGTCTGTCCAGCCAGCGAAAACTTGTGATCCCCTCGAAATCCCACGGATTCCAAGTATGCATGGTTGAAATTCCTTCAAATGACAAATGGTCGCTGGGAGGATCTTGTATTTCGGTCTGACATGCTCGGAAACGTTCCTAGCTCCATGTATGTAGAGTCAACACCGAAGACTGAGTGCCACACATGTTTGTCGCCTCATGCAAGGATCTGGTCCTCGTGGCCGGAAAGGGAATGTGTTTTTTTTTTCCAGGGAGTAAACTTTTTCAGAGTGGTTAGGGTGTGGAATGTCCTGCGGTTGAGACATAATCCATCCGTGTAAATTCTCAAAAGGGAACTAGAATAGATACAAGTAGAGTCCTGTCATGTACTGGTTAGAGCACTCGCCTTGCAAGCGAGAGGACCTGGGTTTGATTCCCGAGCAGGGGAAACCCTAGGCAAGTTTCCTTATTCCACACGCCTCTGTTTACCGAGCAGTAAGTAGCAACCCATTTGTTAGTCGATTAGCCTATCGCTTCCTGGGGGGTGATAATTCTTTCAAAAAATAATAATTTGGTCACTCAATCCACGACGGTTTGTGGGACGCTGCTGTGCACAGTTGGCTGCCATGTTTCGTCCACAAAGTAGAAAGTCAATCCACTTTACAGGACATTCAGTGAAGCGCTTTGAGACGTCTCGAAGACGTGATAAGGTGCTGCATCGAACGAGAGGATTTTTGTTGTCATGATTATAATTATTTTATTCTGTATAATCATTATTTTATTCGTCCGCTTGCAAAAGGGAACCAGAACAGGTACCTTAAAAAAAAGAGAGAGAGTAAACTACAGGGGTAGTTTTGTTCAGGCGTTTCTAAGTATGGTGGGAGCGGGGATGGAATGCAAAGGAGTAAGATTGTCTGAAAGATGGAATTCTGACGAGATAACTTGTAGACACCCAGTCTCTGTATTTCTCAGTAAAAAAAATCCCATGGAGCGCTTTCGAGACGTTTCAAGGACGTGATAAGGCTGTGTCTGAAAAATGTCAGCCTGGCTCGGTTGATAGCGCCTACTCCTTGTGAGAGTCAGAGGGTTGTGGGTTCAAGCCTTAACGTTGGATGTCTGAGCTCCTTGGAGGGAGGAGAAGTGGGTGGGAGAGCGCCATATTGTCTGAGGCGCATTCTTTCGGGTGAGACGTTAAACCAAGGCCCCCCCACCATCTGTACCTGTTCAGGTGGATGCTCAAGATCATCAAGTCAGAGCTGTTGGAAAAGTGAAGGGAGTTTCTCTCTCGGTGTCCTGGACAACAGTCCTCCAAATAAAATTGGCCGTTCCTTTTTTGTGGCTGTGCATCATTAGCTGCCGCATTCGCCTACAAAATACACAGCCACTACACTGTAGTCAGTCATGTGAAGTGCCTTCAGCCTTCCTCCTGACGTGAAATGCGCTGTGTAAAATGTAAGCATTATTATTGTTACAAGCGGACTCAATGCTCGATCCTTGCCTTCATTATTTTTTCTTGTCTCTCCCCCCCTTTCCATCTCTCTCTCCCTATTTCCCTCACCTTTTTATCCCTTTCCTTCCTCTCTCTCTCTCTCTCTCTCTCTCTCTCTCTCGCCTTTCCCCATCTTTCTTTCTCTCTCCTATCTCCATATATTTCCCCCAAATATATATATATACATTTCTCCTCTCCCCTTCTCTCTCCCACCCCTTCTCCCTCTCCCCACTTCTCTCTCTCCTGCTCCCCCACCTCTCTCCTGTTCCCCCTCCTCTCTCCTGCTCCCCCATCTCCTCCCCTTCTCTCTGCCCCCCACTTCTCTCTCTCCCCCCATTTCTTGCTCTTCCCCCTCCTTCACCCTCTTGCCCCACCCTTCTCTCTTTCCTGCTCCCCTATCTCTCTCTCTCTCTATCCCTGTCTCTGTTACAGTCAAGTCTCCTTGGACCTGATATGGGGATGGGGAGCCCAGGAACCCTATCACCCGCGGGCAACAAACCAGGGTCACAGTATTATCCATATTCCAGCAATAATCCCCGGAGACGACCAATACACGATTCCTCGCTTGGTGAGTACCGTTCCACGTTTTACTTCTTGCTTTCGCAGACGCTACCATTTGTTCTTCCGGAAGAAAAGATCCTTTTCCTTTTCACCACCAACAAACTAATCCTTACTCTTCCAACAAATTCCTCCCAATGAAATAAATAATAACGATCATAAATTGGTCACTTCAATCCCCCGCTGCTGTGCGCAATTGGCTGCCGCGTTTCGCCCGCAAAATGTACAGTCAATTCGCTTTACAGTGTATTCTGTGAAACGCTTTGAGACGTCTCGAAGACGCAATAAGGCACAAAATCAAATCGTAGAATTATACAGCACAGAAGGAGGCCATTCGGCTCATCGCGTCTGTGCCGGCTCTTTGAAAAGAGCTATCGAATTCAATCCCACTCCCCCGCCTCTCCCCATAGCCCTGAAACTTGTCCTCCCCAAATAATTATCTTCTTCTCTCTTAAAAGTTGTTATCGAATCGTCTTCCACCAGCCTTTCAGGCAGTGCATTCCAGATCCCAACAACTCGCTGCGTGAAAACATTTCTCCTCACCTCCCCTCTGTTTCTTTTAACGACTATCTTAAATCGGTGTCCTCAGGTTACCGACCCACCCACCAGTGGGAATAGTTTCTCCTTGTTCACCCTATCGAATCCCCTCATAATTTTGAAGACTTCTATTAAGTCTGCTCTTAACCTTCTCTGTTCCAAGGAGAATAATCCTAGCGTCTCTCGCCTCTCCTGATAACTGAAGTCCCTCATTCCACATACCATCCTGGTAAATCTCCTTTGCACCCTCTCCAATGCCTTGACATCCTTCCTAAAGTTTGGTGCCCAGAACTGAACACAGTCTCTATCTGAGGCCTAACCAGTGTTTTATAAAGGTTCATCATAACTTCCTGACTTCTATATTCTCTGCCCCTATTTATAAAGCCTAATATCCCATATGCTTTTTTAACAGCTTTATCTACCTGTCCGGCCACCTTCAAATATTTACTTATATGAACCGTTCAGGTCTCTCTGTTACTTCATCCCCTTTAAGATTTAAGATACCATCAGCTTATATTGTCTCTCTTCATTCTTTCTCCCAAAATGGATCACTTCGCATTTCTCCACATTAAGCTTCATCTGCCACGTGTCTGCCCATTTTACCAGTCTGTCTATGTCCATTTGCAGTCTGCAGCTATCCTCCTCACTGTTTACTACTTTTCCCAGCTTAGAATCATCTGCAAACTTGGAAATTGTACTCTCCGTACCCAAGAACAGGTCATTTATATGGATCAAAAACAGCAGTGGTCCCAATACTGACCCCTGGGGGACACCACTGTACACTTCCTTCCAGTCAGAAATCAACCGTTCACCACAACTCTCTGCTTTCTGTCTCCCAGCCAGTTCTGTATCCATGCTGCCATTGTCCCTTTAATACCATGCGCTTCTATTTTGCTTACGCATCTCTTATGGCACTTTATCAAACACCTTTTGAAAATCCATATAAACTACATCAACTGCACTACCTTCATCCACGCTCTCTGTTACTTTATCAAAAAACTCTATCAGGTTTGTTGGACATGATTTGCCTTTAACAAATCTGTGTTGGCTCTCCTTTATTAACCCATATTTTTCTAAGTGAAAATTTGTTTTGTCCTGGGTTATAGTCTCTAGAAGTTTCCCCACTACTGACGTTAGGCTGACTGGCTCTAGTTCCTGGGTTTATCCTTCTGCCCCTTTTTGTACAAGGGAGTAACATTTGCAACCCTCCAGTCCTCTGGCACCAACCCAGTATCCAATGAGGATTGAAAGATTGTGACCAGAGCCTCCGTTATTTCCACCCTTACTTCCTTTAATAACCTAGGATGCATCCAACCTGGACCTGGTGACTTATCTACTTTGAGCACTGATGACCTTTTTAGAACCCCTCTCGGTTTATTCTTACCTTATCCAATTTCTCTACCCTCTTCTATACTGTGGTATTGGCTGTATCCTCCTCCTTTGTGAAGACAGATGCAAAGTACTCATTCAGTATGTCGGCCATGCCCTCTGCCTCCAAAGGATTTCCTCTTTGGTCCCTAATTGGACCCACCCTACCTTTGACTAACCTTTTATTCTTTATAAGCTTATAAAATACCTTAGGGTTTCCATTCATGTTACCGCTAATCTCTTCTCATACAATCTCTTTGTCCCTCTTATCTCCTTTTTCAGTTCTCCTCCATAATTTCCAAATTCTATTTGATTATCTTCTGTATTTTGGACCTGACATTTACCATAAGGCTCCTTGTTCTGTTTTACTTTAATCCCAATTTCCTTATTCATCCAGGGAGGTTTGGATGCATTTCCCCTTTGAGGGAATGTATTTGTTCTGTTCCTGAACTATCTCCCCCTTGAAGCCTTCCCATTGCTGGTTAGCTGTTTTACCAACCAATTTTTCTTTCCAGTCCACCTTGGCCAGGTCCCTTTTTAACTAATTGAAATTAGCCTCTTCCAGTTGAGTCTCTTCACCTTTGATTGTTCCTTGTCCCTTTCCATAAGTATTCTAAACCTAATGATGTTGTGATCACTGCTGTCCAGATGCTCTCCTACTGAAACCTGGTCCACTTGGCCCAATTCATTCGCCAGAACTAGATCCAGCACTGCTTCCTTCCTTGTTGGGCTGGAAACATACTAATCTTTACCAACAACAGCAACGCTCTAATTGTTATGGGAATGGATGAAGCTATAGAAGGTTGTGTTGTACCCTTGTCACCTCCCTACCCCCATTGCCTGTCCATGCAGAGCTGGCTGATTCCAAGTAAGGGTGATGGAGGGTTGGGTTGCTTATGATCAGTGAAGGTGAGGTGATTGGGGGGGGGAGGGGGAAATGAGCCAGGTTTCTTCCCTTGTTGGGAAGTGCACGTGCTAGGGTGAGGGATAATAATAAAGATAATAATAATCCTTGCATTTGACCGTGCCTTCAGCTCCCCTCTCGACTCTCTTCCCCCTCCTCGCTCCCTCCTTCCCCTCACCTGACCATTTCCCCTCCTTGCTCCCTCCCTTCCCTCACCCTGACCATTTCCCCCCTCCTCGCTCCCTCCCTTCCCTCCCCTCACCCTGACCATTTCCCTCCTGCTCGGGTCATGACCCAACTGTGCAGCGCCTTGGGACGTCCTCCTGACGTGAAAGGCGCTTTATAAATGGAATCTTGTTGTTGTTGTTGTTGTTGATGTAGCGCCATATCACATTGAAATATCTCAAAGTGCTCCACAGAATGTACTGTAAAGTGAATCGACTGTATATTTTGTGGACGAAACCCGGCAGCCAATTGTGCACAGCAGCGCCCACAAACAGTCGTGGATTGTGAGTGACCAAATTATTATTTATTCATTTATTTTTATTTATTTACTTATTTTGAAGGGTTTGAAGGTAAACGGAGATGGGTGGAGTAAGGAAACTTGCCTAAGGTTTTGTCCTGCCCGGGAATCAAACCAGGGTCCTATCGCTTGCGAGGCGCTAGCCAATACGCTACAGGACTCAATGGGAGACCCCTCCACAAGTCACACCATTATGAAAAGCAGCCCTTGACTTTGTTGAGCTTGGCTGCCACGTTTCGCCCACAAGATATACAGTCAATTCACTTTACAGTACGTTCTGTGAAGCGCTTTGAGACGTCTCGACGACGTGACATCAAATGCGAGGATTATTATTATTATTGTTGTTTTGTTGTTGTCGTTGTTTCCCGCCCCGCACTAACACGCTGATTTGTTGGTGTTTGCAGAGGGGCCGCCGAAAAAGGTCCGGAAGGTTCCGCCCGGCTTGCCGTCTTCAGTAAGTTTGATCGCTCTATCGCTATGCTGTTAACCTAAGCATCGTTGATCCGCACTGCGGCGTTGCCATGGCAAACCATCATCGATACCCCCGTGTGTGTGTGTGTGTGTGTGTCGGTCTCGGAGCTGGGGGTGATCGCATCTCACTTCAACGCTCCTATTGGGCAAAGACTGGTAATTGGAGTTGAGGTACTGATTTGATTGAATGGTGGAACAGGTTCAAGGGTCTGAATGGCCTACTTCTGTTCCTATCTTCCTAACATGTTCATCAGGGTAGTGCTATATTTGTGCCGGATGTACGGTAAACCTCACAGTAGTCGCTGGGAACACGCAGCAGGTCAGGCAGCATCTATGGAGAGAGGAAAGTGAGTTAACCTCTCAGGTCGATAATCTTTCGTCAGAACCTTTCATCATATTTTTCCATTTAATACGACTTACGCAAAGTATGAGTTGTGTCAAACTTGAGTGGGATATAAACTCGCGAACCAGACTTGGGCAGATGTACGATTTAGACAAATTATACAGATTACCGTATTTCTATTTTCTTGGCGTCATCCGGGTGACCGACACATGTGGAAATCCACCACCGTACTTAAACAGTCTCCAAATCAGACTGAGAGTTCCACATACATATGCCACCTACACATAGATATTTCCCTATGTCTGGAATGGAAGGCGCTCTCTCCTTCGCTCTCTCTCCCTCTCGCTCCCCCTCCTCCCTCCCCCAAGAAGGACACACCCTGCTCAACTAATCCCAGAGAGTATTAGACGCAGGTTGGCGAGAGCAAAGGCTTGGGGTCCCCAGAGTGTGCGCGTTGGGCGTTTTACGTTTAAAACCGCAGAGCTCGCCATTGACAACGCTGTCTGTTAAGCTTTCCCGCTTGCTTGTCCAACGAGGACTACCCTACCGGTATGGGGTTTGTGCTTTCGTAAGGTTAACAGGAGCTGAGTGAGAAGAAACACTGGTCCCAGTGACCGACCGGTTGTGTCTGTCATTAACAGTGTTTTATACGTAAAAAATATTAAGCAAAATACAATACTCGCCAAAATAAGAGGGAGATCAGCTGACTGTTTGGATCTTGCAGAGCTCTTTCTGGAAGTTGTCTCCACTCCCCGCGACTTTTAACACTTGCCTGTGTTCACCCGCCACGTTTGGCTGGGGAATAGCTGGTGTTTATCCCCCTATTTGGCTGCCTTGGCTCCCCGCATTCTCCCCAGCCAGCCAAACAGGAATAAAATAATCAATCTGAGACTCAACACAAGAAAATAGTAAACAGCAAGCCTTTTCGTTAGCGCTGACAATTTGGTGGAGCGGAGAGGTGAGTGCGAGCATTTGTGTGTTTGTGCGTGAGTATTAGTTTGTGTGTGCATGTAGGTTTGTGTGTGCATGTGTGTGTGTCTTTGTGTGCGCGTGTGGGGTGGGAGTTGGGAGAGGGAATGGGTTTGGAATAGAAATTAGGAGGGATGCATCCTGCTAAGTAAATCCAAAATGCAATTTGCTGCCCCGTTTCGCCCACAAAACACACAGGCAATCCACTTTACCATATAGTAATAATAGAAGTAATAATAATAATAATCCTTGAATTTGATATAGCGCCTTATCACATTGAAGAGAAGTCTCAAAGCGCTTCATAACATATACTGTAAAACTTTTTGAGATGTCTCAACGACACGATAAGGCGCTATATCAAATGCAAGGAATATTATCATTAATTAAACGGGGCAGGAGAATTGGAGGGAGGGGTGTGAGCTTGTGTTGTAGAATTAGGGAAGGAGTGACAACTGTGAAAAAATTTTAAGGCATTACTACGTGTTTGACAATTACTTGCGATGAATGCATTATGAGTTCACTCTGTTTTTCTTCAGCCATTATTTACAGTTCATTTTGTCTCAGTAGCGATGGGGGGGTTGGGGCGGAGGGAGGTGGGGGAGGGGAGGAAATACAGAGATGTATGCATTTTGAATAAAAGTTGCATAAGGGTTCCTGGTTTATTTTTAAACATTTAATGCTCTGTTAATAATGAGGACAACTCCAGCTGAGCCCAGATCCTCATTGCAGATAGCGGAAAATATTTGCTTGGCTCTGCTCGAAACTGTGAGGATTCAGCCGTGGAGAAACAACTTTGAATCCAATTCTTCTCATTTGACGATGGACATGTTTTTTTCGCATTTCGTACAGCGCCTTTCACGTCGGGAGGACGTCTCAAATCGTTTCGCAGTCAGAAAATTTTTTGGAGCGATAGAATAGAATTGGAGGAAGAGGAGTTGGGTTGCAGAATTATAGAAACATAGAAACAGGAGTAGGCTATTCAGCTCCTGGAGCCTGTTCCGTTATTTTATAAGATCATGGCTGATCTATACCTCAAGTCCAATTACCCCCCCCATATCTCGTAATACCCTGATCCAACAAATATCTATCTGCCTCCTGCTTGAAAATGTGAATGGATCCAGGAGCCACAGCCTTTTGGGGGAGAGAATTCCAGACTTCACTACCCTTTGGGTGAAAAACTGCGTCCTGATTTCACTCCTAAATGGCCCAGCACTATTTTTAAGATTATGTCCTTGTCTCATTTAAGATTATGCCCCAATTAATATATATTATGTTATTATTTATTATTATATTATTACATTATATGATATACTATTATAATATTATTATTATATAAATATTATTGTGCTGGATTCCCCTACCAGAGAAAATAGTTTATGGATGGAGCGAGACTGAGAAGGTATTTTAAGCTGTTATCACGTGTTTGGCAATTGCTTGAGACCATAAGAATTGCTGGACAAAAAAAAAACAAGGTCCATCCAGTTCACCTTCCACCATCCTGGCAGTGGCTTGACATGTCATGTCCCAAACTATATAGTGTATCCCACGATAATATGAGCAAGTGTAAACTGAAGCCAACTGTGTACTTTGTAGGTGAGCGGCCTAGATAATTTACTACGTTCCCCCCATCCTAATGACATGACCCCCGAATATGCTGTGCTCCTTCCCTACCCCACCTCCCAGCGCTGCAGTGGGGCCTCAGCCTAGGTTTGGCCCTTGGGGACAGACAGGGCTTTGAAGCGCTTTGAGACATCTTCCCAACTTGGAAGGTTCTATATATATATGTACAGTTGGTATTTGATGTCGTAACCAAAGGTGAGAGGGCGACCGACTGAGCCAGACTGACCCCCAGTTTTTCCATCAAATAAAACTCCTCCCTCACTCCTTGACTTGTTTGTGGGACACTGCTGTGCGTAACTATTTCGCCTACGAAATACACAAGTCGATCCACCGAGTGTATCCTGCGAAGGGTTTTGAGATCTCTAAACGACGTGGCAAGGCTTTATGCAAGGATCATTATTATTATTATCATTATCATCATCTCAAAACACAGTGACAAGAAGGCTTAAAAACTTTCTTTTTTAAAAAAAAGCCAGGCTTCCCCCGTGTTTCACTCTCAGCTAATCCCCAGTCCCGTCTGGTGTCATTTTCACACTCACACCCTCCGTTCCGTTTTGACAGTGACAGTGATTTCCTCGGTTTACGCCAATTAAGCTCTGCCTTCCCCCAAAGTTAACGCAGAGAAGTCGGTGTGCAGTGAGCAATATCTCAGCCTGGCTCACTCGTTTCACCATGCACTGGTACCCAAACCCATTCCCTCATCATGTGTAACTAGCATCAGAAGCACTGAGCACTATGCGGAGCAGTAAATAAATGAGCAGCGTCAACCGCTGCATTAGTCATGGAGACTCACACATACACTGTATATGTTCTCACACGTTAGCACGGACCATGAGACACCAGGTGAGAGAGGCATGTGGACTCCCGTAGTGTAGTGGTTAGAACACTCACCTCGCAAGCGAGAGGACCTGAGTTTGATTCCCGGGCAGAGCAAAGACTTAGGCAAGTTTCCTTAGTCCCCACGCCTCTGTTTACCTAGCAGAACATGGTCATTAGTGGATATCACTTTCCAGGGTAATAATCCCTTCAAAAAAATTAAAATATAATAACTTGTTCACTCAATCCACGACTGTTGTTGGGACACAATTGTCTGCCTCGTTTTGCCCACAAAATATAGTCACTTCCCTTTGTAGTATATTCTGTGAAGCGCTTTGAGACGTAATAAGGCGCCATATCAAATGCAAGGGTTATTATTATATTATTTATTTTTTTCTGGGCGGAAAAGGCATGCGTTGGCATGGGAGTGTGTGTGTGTGTGTGTGTGCGTGGAGGGGGGGGAATGAGGGGCGGGTGGAGGGCTGGTATTAAAAAACTAGATATTAAAACTCCACGGGCAGAAAGATAGCCAAACAGCTGTTACCTGACACACAGCCAAGTGAAGGAGGGTGTGTCTGTCTCTCTCTCTTTCTTTCTTTCTTCTTTCTCTCTCTCGACAGGGTCACTGGAAGGGAGAATGTAGTGGCTTGATGGTGTGTGTGTGTGTGTGGTGTGGGGGGGGGGGTGTGGGGAGAGTGGGGCGGAGGTACGGGGGGGTGCGAGGGTGGTGATGGGGAAGAGAAGGAAATGAGAAACAGCTACATAAATACATTAATACATGCTATCAAGACTGTCAAATGCAGTTTGTCACACTGACTGATAAAACCACAGATATTATTTTTTGCTCCAACCGACCACTTGTCAGCTCCGTAGATAGCAATCTATGCAAATGTCAACATCCTGACTGCTCTGCCCTTTCCTGAAATTGCATTTCATTTCTTGTGCCCGAGTGCGTGTGCCTATATCGAAACCTTACCGAGAGATGCTGAGGCTTTTTTTTTCGTCGCAACAGAGGCTAAGGAGTGGGGGGTGGGGGCGGGGGGGGACGTGGGGGGGGTGGGGGGTGTCAAACAGAGGCAAATCAAGTTCGCGACTGTAGGTGGAGGGGATGTCGCTGTGCGCAAATTGACTCCCCCACTCGCTCACGCCAATAAACAGTGACAACAACAACTGTATAGTGCCCCTTGACTGGTTCAGGTCCTACCTTTCACACCACCTGCACTTCGTCTGGGCAA